TAAAACCGAATCAGTCACTGTGTTGCTAGTTATACGTTTTGCTAGCATCGCAAATTTCAACAGTCCATTGCGGTGAAAATTTTAGAGCAACTAATTTTTAAACTTGGCACCTAATTAGCACGTAAAAAGCTCCTAATTTTAGCTTTTTCTAAAAACAATTTTGATTCTATTCTGATTTCCAGAAAACCTGAATTTTGCATTTGCTTTGTTTCTGAATAGCGACTTTATTTTTATTAGGGGCGCCCTGTCCATGCCTTTACTTGCAGCACCTAATTAGCACTTAATTCCTTGCTATTAATATGTACCGTATATCTAATAACTTCATTGCGTTGCTAGCGAGACGTTTTGCCAGCAACGCAAATTTCAACAGTTCGTTGCGGTGAAAATTATAGAGCACCTAATTTTAAACTTGACACCTAATTAGCACCTAAAAAGCCCCGAATTTTGGCTTTTTCTAAATTCATATTCCTGACTTTTCGTTGCTGACGATACACAACTAAATTCTCTTTCGAGTGTAAGCTGCACCCGGCGATCTATGGTGTATCGGCGGCCCTTTGAGTAAATGCGGCACGTGCCAAGGCGGCGTGGCGCGATACAAAGGCGACTGTTTAAAGCGAACAGACGGAAGTAGTTTCACAGAATAAATAATAGAACTACCACAGAATAAATAATAGTACGTATGTACGTACGTAGGGGTAGTATGTATTTATTCTAAAGTCTAGCGCGGAATATGAGGTGTACTATTGTTCTGTTTCAGAATGACCAGCATTAATAGATTTCTACTTTTTCAGTAGATTTGAGCCACTCAAATCAGATCTTGGTAATGAAAAATGTTTTAGTATTTTTGGTAGATAGACATATTGTTGATAGGAATTTTGGTTAGTTTCTTTATTCTTTAGTAGCATTATAAATACAGTTTTGTTTCATCGTAAAATTAACCTTTATATTATTCCTTTAAAAATTTAAATTGTAAAAAAAGAATAAGAGGAGCTTACCTTTACTATCTTTCTTCCTAGAGGTTAACAAGCGGTAATGTTGTCCATTTGTAATACCGAAATTGAAGTATAAGTTTGTTGTGTTTTTTTTCTTCATTTATCATGGAACGAAAATGTGGTCTAAATTATCTTACAGATTCCCTATTTTCTAAATAGTTATCGAGATTGTAGGAGGACACATTCAGTGCTCATTGCAAAGTATGTAATGGTAAAATCATAAGCAAAGTGGCCTTTTGAAGTGCAGATATCCAAATACAACCAAACTAATTTTTTTACGTATTTGTATTCATATCATCATCATCATCATCATCATCATCATTACAGCCCTTCGCAAGTCCACTGCTGAACATAGGCCTCCCCCAAAGAATGCCACAAAGCACGGTCCTGAGCCACCTGCATCCATCGACTTCCTGCATATCTTACCAGGTCGTCACTCCAACTAGTGGGGGGACGCCCTACACTTCGCCTGCCGGTACGAGGCTGCCACTCAAGAACCTTTCTTCCCCATCGGCTGTCGGTTCTTCTGTTGGAGCTATATGGCCGGCCCATTGCCACTTCAGCTTACTAATCCGTTGGACTATGTCGGTCACTCTGGTTCTACTGCGGATATCCTCATTTCTGAGTTTATCTCGCAGAGAAACTCCGAGCATAGCCCTTTTCATAGCTCGCTGAGCGACCTTGAGCTTCCTCATCCGGCCAGCAGTAAAGGACCACGTCTCAGTTCCGTATGTTATCACTGGCAACACGCACTGGGTGTACAGTCTCGTTTTCAAGTTTTGTATTCATATAAGTATAATAAATTCCTGACTACTTGGCTATTTTTGAATAATATAATTCCACTTATACTTGATATGTTGAAAGTGTTTACTGTTTATAGAGCTTTGAAGTTGCAATAAAAACTGATATTCATAAAATAAGACGGTATAAGTACCGGAAAGGTTAAGAGGCTACTTCATGCGAACGACCTTGAGCATTTGGTGTGCCGCGCAGACTCGCTACAATATATCGCGTAAGAAATATGCAAGACGCCACCTACTGTACGAACTTAGTATTTTTTCAACATCAATAAACTATTTTATGGAAATACACACAGCGTACAACGATAAATGTAATTTAATTTTTTTATTCGGTATATTAATTGCATTATATTAGAATTATGTATTCTCATATATTATCTAATTATGAAATTTTATAATTAATTATATATTAAAAATGAAGCATTGAAAATTGTGAGTTTAAAAGATACCTACTCACTATAGGTAAATAGATAGATAGCTCGCCTTTTGTACAAATATTTGGTGCAATAAAGAATAAATAAATAAATAGGATGTTTCGCAGAGTGAGAGTAATATAGAATGAGAATCGTGGAGGCAGTTTACAAACATAAATTGCACAAGGACAAACATCCAGACCCGGAACAATTATTTGTAGGCCATACAAATACTTGTTCCGTGCGGGATTCGAACCCGCGGCCCCCAGCGCGACAACTGATTGCTAAGCCACTGCACCACGGAGCCGTCACCGCGTTATAGGTAAAGTGACCATACGTCCCGTTTTGAACGGGACTGTCCCTTTTCTCGGTCACCTGTCCCATTGTCCCCAAATAAAGCTCCGGGACACAAAATTGTCCCTTAACTCGTTGGATGGAAGTATTCAAAGCCAACAATCTTCAACATAATTTTTTTAATCGAATATATTTCATGTCTACCTGGTTCAAATGCTCCAGTAGAAAGAGTATTTTTCTATTTTAAATAAATTGTGGACGTCTGAAAAATACACTTACGGTTCCAGTTCTAAAGGGATGCTGTTAACAAAGGTAACCATAAAAAAAAAACTTGCCCAGAATTTTATTCTTATTTAAAATCATCACCAACTTTATTAAAGAAAATTTAATCCACTGACAAATGTAGTTGATAATTTAAAAAAATATGTTGTATTTAATAATTACCGTCTATAGCGAATATAATTTTATGGTGAACACTAATTGTATAAAGTTATAGTTTTTAGAGTATAAATAAACCCATGTCCCGTTTTGAGTAAAAAAATAAATGGTGATTTTAGTTAGAGAGTCGAGTAATATATAACCCGCAATGCCGCAGGTCGGCCAAATTAGTCGCCTATAGGCCGACTTACCCGACCGAGCCTTATTAGACGACCATAGACCAAATTAAACGCCCAATTAAAACCAAACCTTACATGCTAAGGGTGCTTAATTTTTATATTTGCATTTACTTCAAAGAAAATACACGCAAAAAGCTTCATCGCGCAGTAAAAAACACAACAAATATATGTATAACTAATACGAAAAATTATAACCAAAACAAACAAATAATACTACCTAAAAATAACCTAATAAGTAATAATATTATCGACAGATAAGATGACGTGGGCGTGTGCGCTGGTCGACGCTCTGACTAACGACACGGGTTTCACGTTCAAGAGCTCAGCACTCACTGACTCCAGCAAGCCCGTGGGCAGTGAATACGCCCAGATTTTAAAATAATTTCTTAATAAAATCAAATTTTGGTCTTTTGAAAAAAAATTATAATAGAAATGTTCATTAATAAATTGCCTATCCATTGGTGTAAATCGCAAAATAAAATAATACTTACTTTACGAGGAGATGCATGTTATCAATAATTATTTCACATTTATGTGGTTTCATTGTAAAGAAATTATATTAATATTTATTCCTTTAAAAAAAATGGATATAGCTCTTATGGATACAAGATTATGTAGAAATATAATGTGTTTTTATTTGTTGATATATCTTTTAAATAAAAAAGTAGATAGCTCCTAAAAACCGCACAAATAACGACTACCGCGACATTTTGCTCAACCTGCGCCTTAAGTTTCGTATACTTTTTTCTGAACCATTGGGATTATTTTATGTTTTATGAGTAGGTATTATGAGGAAAACAAACCAGATGGGCAGCAGTGTCTGCATATAACAGCTGAAAAAAATAAACATGCCTGGAACACTCAGTTGGAACGAAGTTCCTTTCTTAGTATATTATTATTGATAAACGTACTATATTATTGATTACCAATACAAATAAACGAGAAAAAATGCGAGGGAGATGGATATTATTCCATCTCGCTCGCACTATAGACAAGAGGTCGTGACGGAAAAATCTTACAATTTTTCTCTCCTAGCTGCCATCCATCAAATTCGTACTGTACGATAAGGAACTTCGTCCCAATAACTGCTGACCCGCTAGCCAAGTATGGCAACTACGACAAATTTAAAGTGGTAAGACAATTTACGGGAAGGCCTCTAATGTTCAGAAGTGGACTTTTGATATGCTGTAACGGTAACGGTACTAACAATTAATATTTTTTGATGCAATAAAGTGATGTACAATTTGAATTCAAGAATTAAATTATATTGACCCTTAATAGGTACGGTTAATGTTTTAATAGACATTGGCTTGAAAATGGTCTTTAGTTAGTAGAATTTGGTAGAATTATGTTGTTCTGCTAGGTTGCTCGGCTGACTCATGCTGTTCTGTTTCTGTGTCGGTGCCGTTCGGTCGGTTGCCCGTTACCCGGCGCCAGTGCAGTGCCAGTCCGTGTTAGTTACCGGCGTCAGGCATACGCGCACTGGAGCGAATTTCGTGGACCGATTTAGTGTAGTGTAATAAAAATCTGTGATTAGTTATATAATATACCGAATTAAATTCTTGGTACTTAATAGTTTATTATTCAGTTATAAATGCGATATGAATTATCGTAACATTACAGAGCTATAAACAGTGAACATTCTTTTATGGTTTATTTCCGCCAAGCAGCCGTGCGAAACTGAAGAATCAAGTTGTCGGTTTTTATATACATTTTCATAAAAAACGCACTTATGGCTTACTAAAAATAAATTACTGTAGAATATACACTCTTCTTCTCTGTTAAATATTGTTAAAATATTCAGTTAAGATTTTAAGCCTTTCGAGGTTAAAATACTTGGCTAACCTACGCTTGGTGTCCCGTAATAAGTTTCAAAGTGCAATCATGGATTCAAAAGTTGTTCTAAAGGACAAAAATCCCCATGACAAAGCTAATATTTTCTCGAAAATATTTTTATGGTAAGTAAAATATGTATATAACACTTATTATTATTTATAAACGTAAGTTTCATTGTGCTAGGATTTCACACAAGTGCATGTAGGTACATAATAGAATTAATTTAAGAAAAATTTAAAAATACATCAATAATCTTTGGTTGAAATGTGTAAGGGATCACAGGAAAGTGATAGTAAACAAAATGTATACTAGTAAATAATATCGTGCTACATCATAAAAATTAACAATATAGTCGAAATTATGAATTTTATCCTTTTTTGTAGTCGGTTAAAAATAACCGCCATTGTAACGTGTTTGAAGACCGCTTGGTCTAGTTATGAGTTCCTAGCTACGACTAAAACTGGGTTCAATCCTAGCCGAAGCAAACATTTTCGTGTACAACCACAGATTACTTTATAAATAAGGTAGCAAAATCTTAAATTAATGGTTCTAGTTTGGTTGCATTTAGGGTTTCCATCTCCTAAAATGAAAAAGCCGGACTCGGCTCTCCAAAACGCCGGACTTATGGCCATAAAAGCCGGACAGTAATTTTTAGCCAAACATACCTTTCTGAGACCATGCAGCCAAAACACTCACCAACTCCAACCCTCCGAGAAAAAAACTAAAATACTCCGTTACATACCTTAATTGTGTATTAATCAATCACAGCACAGTTTCAAGCGTATACGTTACTTATTTATTTATTCTGCAAGCAATGCGTGCAATGCGTTACACTAACAAAAAGCCTAACAAAAGCCGGACAGGCAGGACACATAAAAATTTGGCCGGACACAAACCGAAAAAGCCAAACATGTCCGGCTTTAGCCGGACAGATGGCAATCCTAGTTGCATTATGATTATTCGCGTGTTTTTGACTCTGTATACTGACCTCTAATCTTATTCATTCCCAATTTTTTCATCTGTAGGGGTGAAATTTTTTCTATATGCTTGTATGGGGCCCGCTCCTTTATTATAAGCTTTTTTATTAAAAAAAGCATAATTAAAATCGGTTCACAATTGACGAACATATCGTGTAATATAAGTACCTACATATATACCAAAAAAATAGGACAGTCGAATTAAGGACCTCCTCCTTCTTTTGAAGATGACTAAAAATTTTACCGGCACTACAAAACCCGGCAGAATTTATTCTGCTCTTTCAGGTAGGTGGCGCAATAAGTACCACTCCGAATTCACTCCGGCTTTTTACAGTGTAGGTACCTACATACTTAAATAAAAAATATTGATAGCTTGTCCACAGTCCACCCCTACCGGGTTGAGATTTTGTATTTTTTTAAAATCATTCTACCAACTTATTTTGTGATTATGATGTGATTTAGGGCATGTCCTATGTACCGATGATTAGGACTTTGCTTCAGGTCTTGTTTAATAATTGGCAACATTGTCTTAGCGAAAACTTTTTCGCGTGTTATTTTTTTTTCCTTAAAGGAGTCTGCCCACTATACCGTACCATACGTGATGGGGTGATGTATTCTCTTATTGCGGCTATTATTAGTTATTGCATTAAAATTATACAATTTTTTACAGATTAACGTTTGTGATAGCACGATGATGATGATGATTGCGATATTATACTTTGTAGATTATTTTATTTTATTGTCAGTAGGTAATTGCTACTATTAACTACGCAAGGGATATTATAGTTTAAATGAGTGTGAACAAATATAGGCAACTCTACAGTTGGGTTAGCCAATAATAATATTTAACGGCACGAATAAAATATTTATCAGCATTGTGACGACTTTAACCTCTTTACACTCAATGAGTGCTTGTTTCGGTAACACTGTTTGCAGGCATTTCGCAATTTTTTTTATTAAAGAAACAAAAAAATTAAGGAAATAAAATCAGAATACTTATCAATACGATAATACTCGTACCTATATATACCTATATCTGAAACTTAAATTTATTTTAAGACTTGATAAATAATATTTGACGGCGTATTTCTTAAATATGATGATATTGCAGAAATGCGCCGTTGAGGACAGATGTGTCCTCATCTGTCATATGATATGACTCATATCACAAGTTATTTTAAGTAGTAAGTAGTGTGGCAACCAGATTAGTTTTCTGCCGACTTCCAAAAAGGAGACGGTACTCAAATTGACGCGTATGTTTTGTTTTTATGTGTGTTACCTCATAACTTTTTACTGGGTGGAACGATTTCGATGATTCTTTTTTTATATGAAAGCTGACTTCTCGTGTGGTCCCATATGAATTTGATCAAGGTCAGACTAATAGTTTTTGAGTAATTTGAGTTATTCTTAATAACTTATATTGAAGTCGGCTGTACAAAACTTTTAATTTTAAATTATTGTCTTTTAAAACATGCTTGAATTACCAGTAAATCTTAGGAGGATTGAATTTGAAAGACGTAGCCGTGTATAAAAAGTTATCCCAAATGATAGACAAAAAAGAGCAGTCTACAATTTAAATTTATTAGAAACATTAAATGTTTTATTAACAAAATATACCATCCATCCATCTTTTCAGCTTATAAAAGTAAATTTTTGAACACGGGCCTCCCCCATAGATTGCCACAGTCGGGATTTTGTCGCAGCTTATTATTATTATTGAGATTATATATGGAAGATGCTGCTGCCCATCTCGTGTTTCAGTTTCCCTTTGTGGTAAAGGATTTTTTACACCCCCAATACACGGCACTACAAAATATACCGTTACCGTTAAAGCCTATTAAATGTCCACTGCTAGATTGACACATAGGGGGGATATTTACCATATTTGCCATGCTTGGTAAACGGGTTGGCAACTGCAGTTTTTTTAGTCGTTATTAGGAAGACGCTGCTGCCCATCTCCCGGTTTGATTCCCTTTGTCGCCTCTTACTACTAAGCCTCCGCTGTCCGTCCGTCCGTCTGTCTGTCAGCGGGCTGTACTTCATGATCGGTAATAGGTAGACAGTGTACAGAACCCTTCATGGGCGAATCCGTCTCGTACTTGGCCGGTTTGACTCGGCAAAAACTTTTTTATGAACCTTTATTTAATGCAATGGGAAAAATAAAATATTAGGTATAAGGTATGTAAAAGTTAGTCGATCGTGCTGAAATTTGCTTTATCAGTCTCGCTTTTATCCAAATAATGCTATTTGAAATCGTAAAAACCGCATGAAAATGTTCCTTGCACAAGTTTTTCAATAAACCACGAAATTTCAATTTAGTTCGTAAAAAGAAGGGAAATTCAAAATTGAAACATCCATGTATTACTTGTAAATAAATAATCGTATTTTAAAAGAAATTACAAATAAATTATAAACATATTTATAACATAACATAAATAGCGAGCACATCAGTCACCTTCGATTTGCCAATAATATAAAATTCCTCACCTCAGCTCTATGCTTAATGACCTCAATAGTTTCTCACAACTCACAACATAATAGGTCTTAAAATGAACGTGACAAAATAAAGGTTACGTGTAACATTCATGTCACACCTATGTCGGTAGTGGTTGGGAGCACTACACTCGAAGTTATTGACATTTGATGAGTATGTTTACCTAAGACAATTTGTCCATATAGGTAAGTCCAATTTCGATCGAGAGGTCAATCGATGGATCCAACCCGGCTGGACAGCGTTTGGGAGATTACGACAACAACTTGTAAACAGGAGTGTACAACTAGTGCGTGTTAACAGTTATAAAATATTGATCTGAGACGTGGTCCTTCACTGATGGTCTTATGTGGAAGCTCTATGCTTGGAACTTTTCTGCGCGATAGACTTCTTAATCAGGATATCCGCAGAAGGACCAGAGTAACAAACCAAGTCAAAATCAAATCATCAAAATCGGTTCACCCAGTAAAAAGTTATGAGGTACACATAAAAAAAAAAAACAAAAAAACATACAGTCGAATTGAGTACCGTCTCCTTTTTGGAAGTCGGCAGAAAACGATTTCACTCATTCATCACGAGTACTCCAAAACCATACGCCCATGAAAGAACAATGGCACACTTTCATACATAAAATTAGTTGAGAAGGAATGGTAGCGTCTATATATCAAAAATATCTTAAAATGTTAAGCGTCAGTCCCTGAATAACATTGTCAAAGAATTTTGTCCTGAGAAGGCGTCAAAAAAAAGATATTTAGATTTGAACCTTTCTAGGGTATGTCTTATGACACTTTGAAAAAGTCATGCGTCCTGTGGTTGTTTGATGTTAGCTTAATACATTCTCAACATTATGTACCTACCTACATAATTGTGAGTTTTTAGATTATTGTATCTCTATTATATATTTAACATACATAGATAATCACGCCTCTTTACCGTAGAGGTAGGCAGAAACCACTTCTTTCCACTTGCTACGATCCTTATATGTTTCCCTTCGTCCATTTTCATTATTCCCTTCGTACATGCTCTTCGGTTTAAGGTACTCTTGACCTGGCCTTTTTTCAAGACGTCCTCGATTTGGTCTAGAAACGTCCGCCTAAGTCTACCCCTTCCAATCTACCCCTTCCAACACTTTCATTCACACTGCCTTATACACTTTTTTCGTCAATCGTTCTTCATTCATTCTCTCGACATGGCCAAACCATCTCAGCATACCTTTCTCAATTTTTATCACTACATCTTCTTTCAGACCACAACGTTTCCTTATCTCACTATTTCTTATCCTGTCACTCAGTTTAACTTCTATCATACTTCTTAACGCACTCATCTCAACTGCATTATTCTGCTTTCATGTTTCTTCTGCCATACCCAACTTTCACTTCCGTACATGAGTGTCGGAACCAGGGGCGTAGCTACCGCCGTATCAGCCGTATCAATGATACAGGGCCCCCGGGCTATAGGGGCCCCGAACGTGTGTAAACAAAAATTCCAAGGACTTCTATGGGACAGGAAAGGCTATCACTATCGTCTTTAGAAGCAAATAATTTAAAAAAACTTAAATCGTCTTCAGCTATGAATGCCGCCGAATCATCTTCAGCTATGTTCGCTGAACAAAAGGCAATAAAGGTGTATATTTGATTTTAATTGTTTAGCTAGC